GGGGAGGCTCAGAGTCTCCTGGGAGCTATTTTCACAAGTGGTAATAAAACAAAGAACATTTAAAAGTCTCATATTTGTTTATCTTCAAGTTCCTCCCTTCCCCACAAAAGAGCATAGTCCTAGGACAGAAAATGCGTCATTTCCATCCATCACAAAGAGAAGGGTTAATCCACATGGAAACGGTGGCTCAGACCAGCTCAGCCGACACTTCCTGTGGGTGAGAATCACCTGGGCACCTTGTTAACCAGCAGGTTAGGATACAGTAAGTCTGAGGCCGCTGGTGACAGTGACCCTGAGCAACGCTGCAGGGAGAAGCTGTAAACAAGATGCCAGGAGACCCGCCCTCTCTCCTGGCCCTTGATTGAGCCACACACGTATCATTTCTATGTCTCGGTCGATGACAAAACAGAATAATAGTTTCTCTTACAGGTAGGATTAAATGACATATCAATTCATTTTAATAAGCAGTCATGGAATGCCTCCCATGTGCCAAAGCCTGGGCTAAAGCACTAAAGAGGCACCTGAACACACACGGAGGAAAACAGTGTTGGAGGATTTGGTCTCTACAATCACCCAGCCATGAGCCCTTCCACGCAAGACCGTCTGACCTTCACGCAAGGGAAGCTGGGGCCCTGGAAAGAAACGTTCATCTTGGGACAAGACTTGGTGTTAAATTCCAGGCTGTTCTTCACACCCTTTGACCACTGTAAGTTCACCAAGCAAACACCGTCTCTCTCCACTAAGCTGAACAGGCCATAAAAAAGGAACCAGGTCACATAAACTTAGCACATTTCGCTAAGGTGCTCAAAGGAAGACTTCCAGACGGGCAGGTTCTGTTGTCTCCATAGAGATTCCCCATTATTCTAGAATTCTTTCTACCCTAGAACTCCTAAAAGGAGCTTTTCTTAGGAAGATACCGCCCCACAAGTCAGGGACACTTTCCACGGCCTTTTCAGGCCTCTGCCCTCCAGCTGCTCATAAAATGAGGGATTTAGCTAATGTGTGACTAGCTCGCACACTCTGTGACCATGTGCAGTAAACCACTGATTCTTTGTCCCAAATGGATGGCAAGCGTCTGCGAGAGTTTCCTGAGGTGTTCTTAGAGGGCGGACGTGGCTCCATGGCACCCTGCTCTCAAAAGTGCACCTTTATTTATTTTTTTAATTAATCTTTATTTATGTTCAAAATATTACAGATGTCCCCTTTTCCTCCCCAGTGACCCATTCCACCCCGCCCTGCCCCTCTCCCCAATCCCTCTCCACACCACTGTCCGAGTCCTTGGGTGGTGCATATATGCATATAAGTTCTTTGGTTACTCTCTCCCCCTCCACCTACCCGCCCTCCTCCATCCCTCTGAGATTCATCCGTCTGATCCATGCTTCCATGTCACTGAATCATTTCTGTTCATCAGTTTATTAAGTTCTTTCCATTCCACATGTAAGTGAGATCATGTGATGTTTGTCTTTCTCAAAAAAAAAAGAAGTGCACCTTGAACAGGCCAACCGAGAGACTCCAGGCTGCCACAATGCCACATCCCAGGGTCAGACGCCACCGCTCTGGTTCCTGATTAGAGTTGTGCATCCGTGTATGTGTGTGCGTGTGTGCATGTGTGTGTGACTGTCAGGATTGGAAACACGGGTCCCTAACACTTGTGTTTTAAAAATTACCCAGATGATTCTAATGTCCAGTTCCAATGAAACACCAGTGTTGACACAAATATATTTGTCCTTTCCCGGGCCAGATATATTTATTCTCTAGTAAGCACTGAGTTTCAGGCCCGCCGGGCAGAACAGCATGCAGAGCACAGGCTCGAGTCCGCCTGCCGGCGTTCAGACGCTGGCTCTGCCACCTCCGATGTCTTAACTCAAACCCCCCAAAGGAGGGCCTTCCAAACCGGTTCGCTCATTTTCAAACAGGGGTAACTATTCTTTAGACAAAGTCAAAATCTGCCACCTGCAGGTTCTACCGACCCGATGCCAGGTGTAACCGGTGCACACACAAACCCGATTTCTCTTTCTTAACCACCTTCTAAATCTCTGAAGACGATTTTCATTCTTTCCCGCTACCCCCTGAGGAAAAGCATTTGTCTTCTCCGGCTAACATCCTCAGGTCCTTCAGCTGTTCATGGTCCATCACCCACCTAGACCTGTCCTCTGGACTCGCTCCAGTTCTCCAAGTGTCCTCCACAGTTTCCAGATCTGAATGTGATAACCAAGCCACGAGATTCTGACTCAGCCTGTCTTTTCTAGGATTATTACAAGGAACATAAACTTTAATAACATAAGCCACACCCTCCCAGTCACACCAATATTTGCTCAAAAAAGTCATAGAAAAAAAGACTCATCTGGAGTCCTGGAGATCATTCCACTGAGTCACTCTGGTACCGGGAGATCACCTGGGTGACCCCAAGACTGTTCCCCGTGTTGGGAACGAATGACGGAACGAGACAGAAGTGACAGGGAGCAACATGCCATCAGGCCCGCTCTGACTTGTACCTCCCCGGGCCAGGGCTCCAAGGCTCTACAGCTCTTATCAGTTTCAAAGGCTCTGACTTTCCACAAGGCCGTGCTGCCCCCAGACCCGCGGTCCCCATGCTTTTTCCTTAAGTGCCATTTCCAAGGTGTCCCAGGCCTAGGAGGACACCCGCTGGGCCGGAGTGGGAACCTGTCCTGGACCCTCCGCCTGCAGCAGCCGATGACTCACAAAGCTGCCTGTCATCGGGTGGAGCGCTGGCCTAGAAACGGAGGTCTGACCTGCCTAGGAATACCGCTGGCCTGGCACACACCCACTACCCAGCCCAGCACATGCCAAGCATTCAGGCTGATTTAACAGGGCTTTAAACACACACATGCAGTGCACGCCCACACGCATCCAGCGTCTCTGCTTTCTCCAGGCTCTACACTTCCCTGAATTTACCAGAAACCCTCCAAACGAGCTAGATGGACACCTCTGCCCCGGCTGTGACGTGCAAACACTCACACTTGAATTTTCTAGAGGGACGTTGGGAATCCCTAAGTGGCATTCTGTTGTTCCCGACCTGCACCTCACGCAATGGGCTGGGTTGAGGCCCCCTCACCCACACTGTCCCCCACCTGTCCCCACCGCACCTGTTAAAGCTTCTTCACCTGGCCCAATGCCAGCCTTTCCTCCACGCTGAGACTGACTGGCTCAGCCACAAATGTTCCTCCCTTTTCCCTCGCCTCTCTGCCTGTCCCGGGCATTGTTCTACCTTATACTACAGTTCATGATCTTTCTCCTGATAGAGGACAAGCCTGTAATGCAGGGACAAAACCCCCCTGTGGGTCCCCCAGCACCCAGCACGGAGCCTTGCGAGCAGACATTCAGGGGAAACAGCTGGATGGAGAAACCCAAGACGTCCTCCCAGGGAAGCTCTGGCTGCAGAAGCAGCCGGCAGTGGGGTCGCACTGGGACCAGCAGGGCCTCTGCTACATCCCGTAGGCAGCCTCAGGGGCAGCAGACGGAACAGGCAGCCCTTAGTGCCCGGAGCACCCCAAGGAGAGCCTCAGGCTACATGCTTTTAACCACATCATTGAAAAAACACCTCGCCCGCCTGCTGTGCTCAGTGGTTGAGTGTTCAGGGCACCGGTTCAATTCCCGGTCGGCGCACATGCCCGGGTTGCAGGCTCGATCCCGGGTATGGGGCATGCAGGAGGCAGCTGGTTGGTGCTCTGCCCCACATTGATGTTTCTCTTCCTTCCTCTCTCTAAAAATCAATAAAAATATTTTAAAAAGAAAAGAAAAAACACCTCTTGCCTGATGGGAGCAGACACAAAGAAAACAAGATTCCTCCCCGAGTGCTGGTGAGAGGCGAGCTGTGTGCGCTGGGAGAGACTCAAGACGGCCAGCCCCAGAAATCAGCTTCTCACCTGCAGTGTGAGGGCCGGGGGACGTGGGAAGGGACAGAAGGGCCACCCAAGAGAACTAAACTGCAGTTATGCGTCAGGACACAAATAAATCCTGCGTGAGAATGTACTTCTCACCCTTTCAGGAAAAGGGGGGGGCACCACTGCCCCCAATCTACCAGCACAGGGAGCCTGTAGTCTCAGTGATGTGTCCCCACATGGCCCTGAAGGACGGCTGACCACCTCATTCAGAGCTGGATTCAGAAAATACAGCTCCTTTTTGAAAGTGCATCTTGAGAAAAATTCGGATAGGCTCATTTAAGAAAAAT